TCACCAACGTTTTAGTAATTTAATTCATTCTGTACAAATAAAAAATCCCTCAATTAAAACATACAAAAAATATGTCTAGTAATTATTTGTCTATACAAATAATTACTCAATCAAAATCGTAAACTGAATGTCATAAATATCTTGAACGGCTTTTAAGATATAAATTTAAAACACAAATAAACTGAATGATAATAATCCTAAATACCCCCGCCGCAGCAAACCTGCAGACTAAGCGAATTTCCATTAGCCTGATAGGATTTCACATTAAAATGCCTCCTTAAAAATATCACATTTATTTCCTATTTAAATATAATTAGTTTAACGAGTACTTAGGTTTGCTGCATCAGGGAGGGTAAAAAGGTGTTTTTTTTATGTTAATAGTTTAGTAAGAAATGAATGTATTTTCCAAATTCAATCAAAATATGTTCATAAACAAGTAAACTACAACAGTTGACTTATTCTCCATAAGAATAACATAGGGATTTTAAATTTACAATTTTTTGGAATTTTCTCTGTAACCATTAGGCGCACAATAACGCTTCAATATACTAAATTATTTGTTTTTTTAAGCTCTACAAAATGGTTTGGAAAGAAATTGTAAAATTTTGTGTTTTTAGGGTCAAAAATGGGAAAACCCTATTTTTACCCCATAAACCCCCGTTCCCATAGTCCGATCATGCTGGTTCGCGAACTCGTTTGAATAAATGTATGTTTACACGTTTGTACCAAATTTCATCAAAATCGGATCATTTTGGCTCGAGTTATCGTGCTGACGGACATATATACAGGGTGTCCATAAAAAACGTTTCAGGACTTTGGGAAAGGAATCCTCATACTAAAAGGAAGAAAAAAGTTTATGGGAAGGTATGTCCGAAAATCCATATTTACCCAGATATCCGCCATTTTGTTTTTTATAAAAAAATATTTTTATCTGTGAAGTTTTTTATTCGATGATTATGAAACTTGGTAAACATGTTACCATACACAAGACCTATAATAGAAAAAATAATAAAGTTGTTCCGATTGTAAATTTCAAAATGGCGGCCGTTTGAATTTTTCTAACTTAAATAACTCGAAAACGGCTAATTCTATGAAAAAATGTCAAAAATACTTTTTTTTAGCATTTTTAATCTCCTATCAAATGGTACCAAGATCAAAAAGATCGAACAAAAGATAACTGAAATATACCGGTTTTTGTGTAAAAATAAGGCAAATGTGTAAAAATAAGGCAAATTTTGTCTTCCTTTTAGTATGGGGATTCATTTCCCAAAGTCCTGAAACGTTTTTTATGGACACCCTGTATATATATTACAAGTATATCCTACTATTATAAATGAGAAAGTTTTGATGTTTGTGACAAGTGAACGCGAAAAATACTGGTCGGATTGGGCAGAAATTTGGCATGATGATAGCTCACATTCCCGATTAACATATAGGCATATTCTTATTTCAAAAATCCTTTCGGGCTCCGCCCCAGTGGCTCTGGAGTTTCCCATGTTAACCTTATGAGAAATGGAATTATTGAATCTTAACAGCTGTTTCAATTAAACAAGTTGGTTCTGTTCTATGATGTTCAATAGCATTAAAGTTACAAGAATTACCAACAGGGTGCAGCACTATTATTTCTTTTCCATTTATGAAAACAGCTAATTTGCAACCAAAAGGTGAGTGAGCGTAGCGAACGAACTTCAACCTGGAGGCGAGTTAGCGTAGCGAACGTGGTAACCTGAAGGCAAGTGAGCGCAGCGAACGAGCTCCAACCTAAAGTTGAGTGAGCGTAGCGAACGAGCTCCAACCTAAAGGTGAGTGACCGTAGCGAACAAACTTCAACCAGAACGTGATTGAGCCATGCGAACGAGATAATCTTGAAAATTAAGAAGTTAAACGGGGCAAAGCCCGCGGGTTACAGCTAGTATTATACAGTATAAGAATTTGTTAATATATAAATATATATATATATGAATTTGAACGGATGGTGTTTTTGGCCTCTAGGGACCTCAAAACGAAAAAATAAATCGGTCCCGGGTCCAGGTCTTACCATGAGTACTACGGTAATAGCTTATTCCCTATATGGGAAATTCCCTAAAAGGCGCTTTTGTAAAAGCTATTCATGATTTTTGTTTTATTAAACCCATTATTAGACCCATTAAACCTATTTATAAATTTCTGGTATTACCCATGGGACACCTTTTATACGCAGTTCTATGTACTGATATTCAATGTTTTAAATATTAGAAGAATACAAAATTCTTCCTTCGTCTTTCGTAATTCATACACAATAAGATTGGCACAAAAGTTCAAAAGTAGGCTAACAATGCAAAATAACGATGGTAACGATGTATTTGTTCACTAGTTTACGTCAACCACTAACTTTAAAACAAAATACAACTCTTCATTCGCCGTAAGATACCGTACTGATTGTTCTCTGATTATTACTACTAAGAGTGAAGTTTAGACTGTAAAACCCATCTAAACGTAAAAGAAAGCATTGAGTAATCACTAAGTAGAACTGGATATGAAACTCATCCTAAAGCATATTCAAGAAACAAGGACGAAAATTTTACTAATTTTTTTAAGTCAATGGCACCATATTTAATCGTTTTGGGTTCAACGATCCAGCGTCGAAGGACATTTTATACCAGATGACTCGCCAAAGACGTTTAAATACAATATGTAACAATTCATACACAACAATGAAGTTTGTTGGTCTTTGAGGGGACTGGCCCTATTAGAGGGGGCGTAACATGCTTTATGTTGTCGAGTTTGAGTTGAGGGGGTAATTTGGCACAAGGGGGACAAATTGGCGAGTTATTGCGCCATTGTAAAGGATTCTCTGAGCAATTGTGGAAGTGGATGTTGATAATTTAAATTCTTTGAATAATATGGTGCAAATTTTACCGGATTTTCCTGGATACTACGACTTTTTAGGTTAAAATTTTAAGGGAGATTTCCTTAAAACCCCTATGAAATAATATATTGAAGGTTTTACAAGAAGGCGTAAAGTATCACTGTAAAATTGTATTTTATCAAAGTAAACCATCAAAATTATCTTAAAAACATCGGTTTGAGATATTCAACAATATAAATTCAACGATATTTGCTAATAAACAAAAGACGTGCTTATTCAAATTTTCTGATGTTGAAGTAGCAATGTTTTCCTAGTTTTCGAATAAGTTATTCGTGTTTTATTTTTAACATAGAACAGATGATTTAGATAATGCTTTTTGCACTCCAGTATGTCTACTGTAGCACAACACGAGTCAAAGTATTTTCGCGCACCCACAACGTTACGTTTATGCAGAATTTGTATACAGTATATACAAAAGGACGTATCAGTTGTGCTTTGTTCAAAATACATCCTGTAACTTTTAATTATTATGCTATTAAGACGTAGAAATTTTACAAGGGATTATAAAACGTAGATGAAATAGACAATCTTTCGAAAAAGATATTTTTTATTATGGTTTCATTAGGCGTTTATTACTGATTTTATTGTTCTCCCGAACAAATTCTCAAATGATTTCTTAAAAATGGGAAATAATACAACCTGGTAAAGAAATTTTAAGCAAATATTTATTACTTGATTTGGGAATACATCTATATAAAACCCAATCTCGAATAAAAAAAACTAGCCCTCTAAAGTTAGAAGTTTACTAAGGAACGTTAGAAGGTTTTATAAGGAACGGTGTCATTACTAAAACAACGTTTAAAATTCACTTCCTTTACGTAAATGTCTCTGGTGTTAAACGTCGCACTATTTTGTGAACCTCAAAGGATGTGAAATTGAAAGCCAACACTCATAAACAAACAGCTGACAGTTTCAACAATGGGATGTTAAATCAGCTGTTGTATTGTTGCCAGTCATTCACTCTGCCTGCGGTGCCTCTTGGCGGTCATCTCATCAAACTGAGCCCAGAGGCTCTTTGTAGAGCATTAGCCTTCAACTAGTCTTCTGAAGTTCGTCAAGATTATGTTGGTAGCGCTGGACATTGTTTAACATTTATGTTTCAAGCCTTGTAACCAAGTTAAGGAAATAAGCGATTCATAGAAACACAATTCTTTTGATTCCGGTGGGATTCCGGAATTGAACGATTTGAACATTCTTTTCCACCCTGTTGATCCTAGAAGCATTAACTATATAGTCAATGCTAGAAGGGCATGCTAAATTATACAGAATTTTGGTTCACTGAGAAACGGATTTTTAATTCATCCAAGCAAAATTATTTTTTTACACAGTTAAAACGTCCAGACTGTCAACGTTTTTACTTTAGGTTTACTTTCATATTGCCATTAAAAAAACTATCCGTAGTTGAATTTTAATCTTAATGGCTTTGAATTACACAAAATTAGTGTCCAATTGAAATGGTACATAAAAGGACATGAACCCAAGAAAAGTATTCTGCTTAGATTTATCAAGCGAAATTGCATTAAGCTAAACGAGTACACTATTAGGATATTTTTTTCATTTAAAGAATGCCTACCAAATTAACTTTTGGCACGTCAATAAAACATGATAATTTAGAATGGTAAATAAAATATTTAAAACATGTTTGATAAAACCTTGGTAAATTAAAAAACTCCAGAATTTTATATTGATGCATCACCACAGAAGCTTTTTAAGATTCAATTGACGTCGTCCCAGCAAAAAATCGCCAAATTAATCCGTTACCTCCACTTCTTGTACACGTTTTTCCACAAATATTACAACAGAAATTGTATGCATAATAAACATAAACAAATTACATCACTGGCCGGAATATCTATACTAATAGCCGTAACAGGTTGTTTGGACTTTTTTTACAGTTCCATTTAAGTATGCTTAATGTCAAATAATGTTTACGTTAGGACCAGTGACATCGTTTGTTTATGTTTATGATCCATACGGTTTCTGTTCTAATATTCGCGTGTTTTCCCATCATTCCTTCTCACGGAACCAAGCAACAAAGTCATACAGAATACTTTGCATAATTCATCATCCCAAGCTGCACAAGATCAAGAACCGTCGCTCCAGGAGGTCCTGACGCCCTTGACTTCCTTGAACTTGACAGTTGCCACCGCCGTGGCGGGGGGCGACGCCCACCTCTGTCCTGCTTGGCTCTTCGCCAGCCTAGAACATTCACCCTGGAGTCTGCGGAAACTAGGGCGCTGAGTCACAGGAAGCAACTTGTGGGAAATGTACAGGTTAAGAGGCCTACGCCTAGAGAAGATGTTGAGAATACGAATGGTTCAGAATGAACAAGCTTTGTGGAGTTCCCCAAGGATCGGTTTTGGGTTAGTAATATTCATCATAGGATCTTTAGTTATTGAGGAATTTTTGCAGCAAACAAAGAGAGTTGAGACATAACATATACAACGTAACAAATTCAGAGTCTAACTTCTTCTGGTAGAGATTCAAATAATCATTTCCACCTCTTTGAATTATTGACTATCATTACTCAGTATTTCGTAATGACAATACAGCAGTAAGTATATTTATGCTACTTACTGTAAATTGAATAGGAAGTATTGGGGCTAGGTGAGTAAGGCTATGTAGAAGCAATTGATAAAGAGAAAATCATAGGGCTGCAGAGGTCCATACTCCTAGAACAGTTCTTGTGTGATCATCGCCGAATGAAACGTCACAAGAGAGAGAGTGTGTAAACAACGAGTTCAAAACGTTACAATTTTTTTACTCGAATTATCACGTGAAAATTAGATCCGACAATCTGTTAAACATTATAGAAAAATCTTTCGAATCACCATCTATTCCAAAATATTAATTAAAGCAGAATCTCTATCTATTCAGATTCAAATTAGCAATGATTTACAACTAATCGCGAAACTCCTGACAAAAATTATGCCATAAATCCTACAACACCAGAAGCTGTTATTAACCATCTATCCGCAGAATTCGCGCTTCGAGCGTTTAATCCCCGATAACCCGGGCAATAACCGTAAACGGGGAGTGGACCGAGTGATGGCCATGGAGTAATAATTGGAAGTGCCAAACGCAGTTCTATGGTGAGATCATAAATACACAAACCGTTAGCGCGTTGGAGGAACTGAACGCAAGTCGGCGCGCCTTGAGTCAGGTATAGCACGATGGCCTGGTTAGACCTATGTTTTGCATACCTCCTGTTGTTGGAACAGCGCCAGCTGTATTGTTTATGGTTGTTGAACCTGTGTAGAATCGGCATGCGTGTTTGACAATTATTGTGTCTAAATTAAATAAACTTTAAGCATTTGAGAAATATATTTGAACATTGTAAAATGTACAAACACTGAAACAAAAACATTAAAATTGTACAACTGACTCACAACAGAAAACAATAAATAATTAACCAATCAGCTGGTATTAAAATATAGGAAAATAGAATATTATTAATTGACACTAGATTGAATATATATCAACTCTCCCCTCTTAATTCTTAGGGAGGATCTGGTCAGTGTGTCTGGTCCATATCAATCCATTTTCCATTTTTATTCTGTACATGACATTGCCCACTCGACTGATGATCTCTCCTAATCTCCACTTTTCTTTGGATGCATAGTTCCTCGCTTGCACCTTTTGTCCCACACTGAACTGTCTTCCAATCTTCCTTTGTTCAACTCTAAACCATTCTGTTTTATCTGACATGACGTTTAGTTTAGTTCTGATGTCTCTGCCAAACATCATCTTGTATGCAGACATTCCAGTTGTAGAGCTTGGTGCCTTCCTCAGCTGTGTGACTAATGCGTCGATCTTTGTTTGTATGTCACCTCTCTCCCCCACCATTGAATTTAGCCCCTTCTTCACCGTTTGTACGAATCTTTCTGCTTGACCATTGCTAGAAGGGTGAAATGGTGCGCATGTTCTGTGACAAATTCCATTTTCTTTCAAATAGTTTTGAAAAGCCGTGCTGGTGAATTGTGTCCCGTTGTCTGTAACGACTGTCACTGGAAGACCAAACGTTGTAAATAGATGTTGTAGCTTTTTGATACACCATTCTGCTGTAGTAGATTTTGTATGTAATATTTCTAGCCATTTAGTATGGGCATCAATGATGACTAGGAAGTAATTTCCATTCATGGGCCCAAGGAAATCCAAGTGTATTCTCTCCCATGGTCCAGATGGTTCTTCCCAGGGGTGATTCCTGTCTTTTGGAGGTTCATTTCTCTTCTGGGAACATATCTTACAGTTTCTGACCAACTCTTCAATGTCTCTGTCCACATTCTTCCAGTACAAATAGCTTCTTGCCATTGCTTTCATTTTTGTCATCCCAAGGTGGCCCACGTGTAGTTCTTTGAGTACTTCTTTCTGAAGAGATGAAGGTATCACAACCCTTATACCTCGAAAAACACATCCTTTGTGTAATGTGTACTCGTTGTTGTTTAATCCCATTGTCTCAAGATCATCTCCATTTTCAAGGGCTATCTTGACTTTAGAGAAAAAAGTATCCTTCTTCGTATGTTCTGAAATTGTCTCTTTGGTAAGTGGTAGCATAGATATTTGATTCATCTGAAATTTTGAATAGAGATCTTCACCTTCTTCTAACTTTTCTACTGGGAATCTTGAAAGAAAATCTGCATTGGAGTGGTCTGAAGTTTTTCTGTATTCTATTTTATAGTCAAAACCAGCAAGGAAAAGAGCGTAATTTAACAAACGTGTAGCTGACATTGCAGGTAGGGATTTTGAAGGATGAAAAATAGATACAAGAGGTTTGTGGTCTGTGACAAGAATGAATTTCCTCCCATAGCAGTATGGAAAGAACTTTTTTACACCCCAATAAATGGCAGTCGCTTCCTTGTCAATTTGACTGTATTGATTCTCACTTTTACTCAGTGATCTAGATGCAAAGGCAATTGGCTTTTCTGTTCCATCATTTAGCCGGTGTGAAATTACAGCTCCTAAGCCAGTTGGTGATGCATCTGTTGACAGTATTAAAGGTAATGACGGATTGTAGTGGATTAGAGTTTTGTCTTTGGCAATGTCCATTTTAACAGATTCAAAACTTCTTTCACATTCATCAGTCCATTCGAATTTCTTGCCCTTCTGTAAGAGTTTTTTCAATGGGTTTAGTTTCTCTGCCAGTTTAGGTATGAACTTATTGTAGTAGTTTGCCAAACCTATGAAAGAACGTAATTGGTTGACATCACGAGGTCGCTTTGCTTCAACAATCGCTTTTACCTTTTCAGACCCTTTTTGAAGTCCATTTTCATCAATTGTATGACCTAAGTAAGCAATCCTTTTCTGAAAGAATTTACACTTTTCAAAATTCAACCTAAGGTCATGTTCCCTCATTTTATCAAGGACTAGCTTCAATCTTTGCACAGTTTCTTCATAATTTGATCCTTGTATGATAATGTCGTCAAAGAAGCATTTAACACCACTAATTCCTTGTAGTATTCTGTCCATGAACCTTTGCCATACTGATGGTGCTACCTTAACCCCAAACATCATTCTGTTGACTTTGTAAAGACCTTTTTCAGTACTTATAGTTTGCATATTTGAACTTTCCTCGTCCATTTGCATGTGCAGGTAAGCATTGCTTATGTCCAAGGTACAAAATAGCTTGCCTCCATTCATTTCTGTGAAAATGTCCTCTATCCTAGGTATTGGATGTTTGTCGTCTTGTATCACTTTATTCAGTGTAGTTTTATAGTCTGCACATATTCTTACAGATCCATTGGGTTTAACCACTGGGACAATTGGCGTTCCCCACTGAGCATTGTTTACCTTAGTGATTATACCGGCATTCTCTAGTCGATTGAGTTCGTCTTCTACTTTTCCTTTAAGTGAGTATGGAACTTGCCTGGGTTTGATGAAAATGGGCTTGCAACCTTCTTGAAGGGATAAATGAACCTTCTCATTTGGAATACATCCAATTTCTTTTTTGAAAACATCAGAGAATTCTGTAAGGAGTTTAGAAAGATCACACGAGTTTTCTTGAATAGTTCGGATATCCCCAATTTTTAAGTTAATTTCCCTAAGCCACTCTCTTCCGAAAATAGGTTCAACATTTTGTCCAATAACATACAGCTTACCGAAGTATGCTTTGTCTTTGAAGTTAAACTCGACATACACAACCCCCTTTGGTTTGATAAGTTCGCCCGTGTAAGTTCTTAGTTGTACATGAGTTTGAAATAGCTTTTTACTCAAATTTAGTTTCTTATAATCCTTGTATGATATCGACGATAAAGCTGCTCCTGTGTCCAATTCCATTTGAATTGGCTTTCCTTCTAGTGTAACATCAACCATGAACTTGTCAGAACCATTCATTTGTATCTTATATGTGTCGTACGTTGCGTGGTCAATATCACTTACATTTTCACTGTCCTCGATCTGGTTGATATGCCTAGCTCTGTTCTTTGCCATGCAGACCCTGGCTAAGTGACCGACCTTATTACAAGAATTGCAGAATTCATCCTTGTACCTGCAACTGTCAGCTTTATGGAATTTATCCCCGCATCGATAGCACCGTCCACGTAGTTGGTCAAATGTAGAGCGAACTGTGTGATATCTTTCGGTCTTCTTGGTTGGGCCTTTGCTTGCATATTGCTGTTGTTGCGGCATTTTTCTTTCAGTACTTCCTGTTAGCTTAAGAACAGCAGCTGTTGTAGGATTTGATATAATGCTGCTCTCAAGTCTTGAGGATTCGAAGGAAATTGCAGCTTGCACTGATTCTTTGAAAGTACTTGTTTCTTTCTGTAGTAACTGCCCTCTTACATCATTATCTTTGAGTCCTCTAACAAACTGCATTCTTAGTAACATGTCTGATACCGATTTCCCACATTCACATTGAAAACGACAATCCTTTGCTAGTCTCTTCAGTTCCATTGAAAAATCCATCGTTGATTCGTCTTGCTGAACATGGCACAAAAATTTATGTTGAAGAGATATAACACTAGGTAACGGTTCCAAATAATCCTTCAACACTGTTACCACATTTTTGTAATTCATCTTGTATGGATCATCTGGAGAAACAAGGTCTTGAAGCTGTTCATGTAGTTTTGGTGGAAGCACTGCAAGTAATGTGCAAAGTTTGGTTTTATCATCAGAAATTTCCTTCAAGGAAATAAAGTTTTCAAATCTTTTAACGAAGTTTGTAAATGATTCTCCTTCATCGAACGGAACAAAAGCAATATTTGATGTAACAGAAGGGTGTAGACCTACTGAAGACTGATTCGTAACTGTGGTTGGGGATTGCAGTTTGTTTCTTAACACCACTTCGGTTGTAATGTACAGCTCTTCAATTTCACTTCTGCTAGTTGCTAATTGCTCAATATCTTCTTCATCAACTAAAGATTCGAGTTCAAATTGAGCATTTTCGAATCTGTTCCAATATGTCCGTAATGAAGACAACCGCACTGTGACTTCATCACTACTCATGTCTTCTCTAACTGTTTTATTTTGTACAATTGCATTGTAAGCTTTCCTAATTTGAATTTTGACTGCAGTTAATACCTTTTTAAGCTTAAGTATTTCACTCATCCTCGTCGCCAATATTGTGTCTAAATTAAATAAACTTTAAGCATTTGAGAAATATATTTGAACATTGTAAAATGTACAAACACTGAAACAAAAACATTAAAATTGTACAACTGACTCACAACAGAAAACAATAAATAATTAACCAATCAGCTGGTATTAAAATATAGGAAAATAGAATATTATTAATTGACACTAGATTGAATATATATCAACAATGTTAGAGGTTACTAGGGTTTGTTGATTGAGTTATTATTGTGGTGTCTTCGGAAGCAAATAATTCTCTTCGGATTTAGTATGGCACTGTGTGGAATTGGTATTCAAATATTGTTGGTAAAAATTACCTGTGTTAGTAGACTGAGTTATTAGGGGTTTTATTTATCTTAGGTTGTGTGCTCTTGTGGAAATGTTCCTCAATAATGAAAACCCGTTAACTATAGTAGAGTAGGCCTATGTATTTGGTTGTCGAACCCTTGCCGAATCGGCGTACAAAGATCTGATTGTTTGGATTGTTTGTTGTTATCTGATTGTTTAAACGTCATCTGTTACTTATAACCAGGGACTATTTTTGGGCCTACGACGACGCACTTTGTCAGTTTAACTGGGAGTTCCTTCAATAATGAATTCTGAGAACCGAAATTATTCACTTTTGTTGGTCACAGTTGGCCCCTACAAAATTAGCATTCTGAACATGTTTGACAGCATGGGTTAGTTATTGGAGCAATATGGTTTTGGTTTCTTCTTGTGGATTTTTATCGTTAAAATTTAAGAACTAAATCTTGAGTTTTTGTGTGGTTGTTGGACCTGCATAATCGACATTCATTTTTTTTTTTTTTTTTTGAAGGTCAGTTATTACTTGGATAATATTATGAAATTAAGAAGTGGGTTGGTTCTATTGGTTAAACTTTGGCAGGATCGGTGTGCGAAACTGTTTGACAATGTTGGAGGTGCCTGGGTGCCCTGGGTTCCTGGGTGCCTGGGTGCCCACTCTTGATTGAGTTATTAGGTTTGGGTTTCTCTTCGGGTACCCAATCGTCGAATTCCGAAAAAGCTAGAAAACATTTGAGAAACATAACTAAGAGCGCATGCTCATGTATATTTTTTCGTTTGTATGACAATTTGTTTATTATCTTTATAGTTTTTTTTTTTCATTTTGCTCTTTTGAATGTTTATTCAAGTGTTATTTGGCTTTGGTTCCTCTTGGCATTGATTTTCTTTTTATTGTTTCGTATTAATTACAACCTGAACGTACGGGTGGCAATGTATCCAAATGTATGCAATTCAAGTTGAATAAAAAAAAAAATTAACATATAGTTACGTTTTTTTAATCTGATATAAAGGTCTTCGCATGAGTAACTATGTTTATGAGCAATTAATTCATTGGTGATTCCGTTTTATGCGTGATGCGGATTTAGTTTGAAAAACATCGTAAAGCACATTGCATCACTTTCCATGATTTATAGGTTAAATCATTATTTAATTATGCCTCTGGATATCCCGGAATAGAATCCTGCTTAATAACAACTTCTTTAGCGCCTGGTTAAGTGGTGTAGTACGCTATAAGAGGTGTTCGTTTTTTATATGAGGAGTGAGTTCCCTTATAGTTATAATACAAGATTATACTGAAGTAGACGTCTCATCTAAATGGACCAACTGAAGATTTTTATGAAAAGGTCATGTTTTAAAGAGTGTTTTTAGTGTACACTAAAATAAAAGCTATATTTTTTAATCAAGCTTTTCATACAATTATAACTGATTTGACACAAAAGGTTCTTAGGTTTACAATAACTCGGCCTTTTTGGATTTCTTAAAAGATTGGTGAATGCAGCAGAAATCATTAATAGATAACAGAACCAGGCTCAATTAAATGGTATATTTTTAGTGCAACAACTTTAACATGGTAATGTACAATATGAACTTCTATCCGAATTCAAAGGTCTGGGAAACCTGCTCAAATAGTTGATATTAGTTTCTTACACAATTCATAAAAGCAAATTTGTTTGATATTTTTATAGTTACAGCATTACGCTTTGAATACCATTGATAACACATGCGTTTCCTATATAAGTCTGTCGCCCTTATATCTGAGAATTATTTTAAGGTATGTTTATACCTAGTAGAATGTAGAGTGTACGTTGATGTAAGCAATTTATTTATTGAAAATTTTTGAAAAATGCTTCTACCTAATAACACAATCACTCGTTGAGAGGCTCACACAACAATGTTCTGAAAGGAAAATGCTACAGATGGTTCTAATAATAGGGATGTCTCCTTAAGTTTCTATTAAGAAATAGGACAAAGCATGTTAGAACATGAGAAAGGGCAATTCAGTAGCCACAGTAGCATTAGTAGTGGTTGAAGATAAAACCATCTGAAAGCTTCCCTACTTGACAACTTTGATGGCTCTTAAGATTGAATGGGTATCAAGAATGTCGCTAACTCGCAGAAATTCGCGCGCACGAGTGTGTGTGTGTCCCACTAAGGTTCAGATACTTTTGACCAGCTGTGACCTTGCTGATTCAGCGGTGTCTAGTTTCTTTTGCAAAAACCCAAACGAATTTATTGCCTAAGGGAATTTGTAAAGTTATCTCTCCTTCCTGAGCTGTTTTCGTCCTGAGCCCCACAGACTCGGGCGCCTGATTGTACTTTATGATCCTTAACCACAGCCAGGAAATAAATGTGGTGTTCGGGTTTTGCATGTTAAAATAAGTTAAGTCTTTACGTAGTGTGAGTTGGAAAGCGATTGAAAAGTGTACGGGAAAGCATATTAAATACTGTCTATACAAAGGTTATGTTAAGAGTATGTTTTCTTTTCGATTCGTCCGATTGTTTTATATATTCATAATTTGCAATGGGATAAATAGTTATCCAATTAGCTAATTACTCTCTCCTACAATATATTCCGACTTAACAATCATCTTATACACATACACCAACTCACTTTGACCAACTCTATTTGAGTGTTTTATAGATCTATCGTCCTTATAGGGACAAGAAGAAGAATTTCAGATTTGTTTTTACGATGTATCAAGTGTGGCTTTTTATGTTAACTATTTGTTATTGTGATGTCACTTACTACTTAAAAGAAATGAAAAAAAACTGTTAATAACCTACCAAAGAGATGCGCTGTAAATATTCCCTAAAATAAGATAAAATATTCACCCGGGATCAAAATATTCAACCTTAACCAGACGTGAAAAAAAAATTAACATTAAGAAGTACGGTCTAGCTGCAGTATCTAAAGTAAAAAAAGTTCCTATTAAATGTCTTATAGAGCATAAAATATTTGAGCGTTTTTCAAATTGACGATGTTAAAGTAAAAGATATTCTGATGTTTATTTGAAAATTATGACGATTAGTTAACAAAAGTTAAACGTAGTCTTTGTGGGTGCTGCATGAACAACATAAGCTATCTAACCAGTATTACAAATCATGAATAGAAGTGTCCACGTTTTTTAAATGCTATAGAAGAACAGAATAAAAATATTGATTGAGATTGGTATCACATACTAGATCATCTGGCGATGAAAGAAGTACAGAACGTGGTGGAAAATCTAATCAACGTTCCTAAGTGTTTGACTCTGACATAATTTTATTATTTTTCTAATTCCGCTCTCTCGCTACGTGATGTCATCTCTGATCAGCAGATCTGGAAGAGAAGTAACTTAATATTTGCATTATTTTTATTTGCATTTAGTATAGTTTACAAAATTTTTCTCCATGGTAAAACTGTTTGGTCATTCTTCATACTTGAGAATACTTATTGGTTTACAAACATAATAATTTATGTTTTCATAAAAATTTTAAAGTTATTTAAATATCCAGAAACGGAAAAATTTCTTAGGGACACATTTCTATTTAATTGTGTAGACAAACCGACAAAAAGTATCAAATTTGAATTGTGAACTCATTTTACATAAAGCATCCAGTATACTAACATGGATAAAAGTTTTTTCAAATAATTCACATACCTAGTAATCAGATAGTAACTGGTTTGATCCTGAAAAAAGTCAGTAGCTTTTTAATAGTTCAAAACTGGACTAAGACTGGATCACTGGATTTTAAGTAAATGTTCAAGCTTAAGAAACATTTAATTTAATTACACCTTGTATTTATACTCAGCTTAAAATGTTAAGAAATGTGCTTGGAAAGTGAGTGGCTATCATAACATTAATGTATCAATGTAATGTAACGCAAAGTAACTATTGTATGTAACAATGTAATGTATTGTAATACAATTTCCGTTGTAACATCAATGATGATTGCACCTATTTCGTGCCAAAACTACTTTTCTCTGAAGCATTATTTGCAATCTGTATTTGCAAAGATCTGAAGGTATTTGCAATGTTTTCGGATCTTTGGACTTTTCATTCGTAATACATTTTCTCAGAAAGTTCTTTGAATGGTTTTTCAACAATTCTGTTGTAACATTTAGAACAAGCCATACTATTGCGATATTTACGACAATGGAGTTACGTTTGTGTAACTACATGTCTTTGAGGCTACGTGTTTCTGGGGAGAAGCGTTTAAAATGAGACAAGGAATTATTTCATGCTACTGTAAATGATTAAGGCCTTTTTATGATTATAAATTCTCTATTCACTCATAAAAAGACTTTTAGGGTAGGCTTAATAAACCCCTTTTTTAAATTTTATTTTGGTTGGCATGTAAACTTCTTTGAATTTATATACGTACAGTTAATACACTCATATATGATGCACATTGGATTTTAGTCCATACCAAAATAAATTGAAAATGCATTTAAACATTAACAAGTATTGGTCTTACGACCAGAAACCACAACTATTTATAACAATTTCCAACATTTTAAGGATTGACAATAATCTGCGAATATAATGCTACATTGAATTCGGGGTTTAAGATATACAGCACGTTTACAT